TTATTATAGTAAATATAATGCATAGGTATATATAATATTATACGCGTAGGTATATATACTGTATATTTTATTATGCATGCGATATATGTAGAATATGCCAGCCTCCACCATCATAAAAATAATTAACTTTATGAATTTATTGAATTTTTATTCGTGAACCTCATTGGTATAATATAATAATCTCGTATAGTATTATTATTTATACACGCGCATTATGAAGCAAATTTTATATCTTATATTTTTAAATCACATCAATTTCAATTGTATTAGTACAGAGACACTGTCCTGTKATTTATCTTATAGAAATAATGAACATAGATCTTTTCTCCTCCATTGAAAATGTATTTCTTCACCACTAATATGACGGACATTGAAAATATATTTGGAAATGAAATTAATGAAAAAGTTAAAGTTGCAACTAAAGTAATATTATAAAGTTTAACAAGTGCTATTCAAAATGGTTTACTGTATATTTCAAGCTGTTAAAATCCTTTGAACATTTTCATTTTGACCCCTAATATAAATCGGATGCTGCATTGAAATTCTAAGAATTAAATATATTCAAATTTCTAATCGATAAGCAAGTTAAATGGAACTCTTTTATGCGCTTTTAGTGAAAAAAAAGTTTTTTTCTTTAAATAAGAATCATAACACCTATTTCATATAGTATAAATTTAATCAAGAATTAAAAATGTCTTTTATCATTGACTTTGTTTTATGCTATAAATATCCAATAAATTTACAAGGATACGATATAATATACATTAATACATTATTGTCATTTTATGAAGTATTTATCATTATCTACAACCGCAACTCGACACTCATAACCACAATAAGTAGTTTATAGTTCTGATAACCTAATACCTGTAAGTACTGTTTATATGTATAATATGTAAGTATTATTTATTATATATTGAAAATTTTATACCCCGAAGTCGTTTGTGAATATATCGAATATGGATCACGACGAGTAGGTATTTGATACATATTCTTGAGAATAAGGTACTTTTAGCATTGTAATTTTACTTTCTGTGGTTTCTGGCTTTATGGTTTTTGTTCACAAATCGATTTCGCAAAGGAAAATAAATTGGAAAGATATTTTGAGAATTCAGTACCTATTTCAATGATTCCGCGCTATAGTCTTGTTTTTATATAGACAAGAAAAGATGTATAGATTCCAACGCCGCGCCGTAAAGAGTATATTTAAAGTATGTTTATGAACCAATCGATTTCACCACCTGCACGCTATAGATATATATACATTATACACACACAATATATTCATTCTATACCGATACTTTAAAATGATTAGCACAGTTTAACAGTATCACACGAGTATTAATATAACTTCAAAATATACGTTAAGGAATAAAAGTATCGCGAATACTGTGACATGAGCTGATGAAATAAAGTACTACATCCATATAACTATATAAGTAATATAATATTAGTCGTGAGTGAAAAACGCCATAATTTTTTTTTAAATTTTGTCAATGTTGTGGGGCCGTCACATGTAGTATATATAGGAGGATACGAGTATATGCGAGTATATGCAGAAATATTAGACATTAGATACTGTATTAGTAACTATATAATTTAATCTAAAATAATATTATAATGACTTGTACCTCACGTTACAACMGCACTGACGTATTATCTGCATAAGTAACCTTTTATGTATGATGCCTGTCTCAGTCGTAGATGTCTGACGTCTATACTCGAACATAACAATATTATAAACAAACATTTTTACATTTAATCGATTGATTTGATGAACAGCCTATTATTTTATTATTATCATTATTATTATTTTTTAATGTTCGTAATTTATAGAACGTAACGCAATAATATATAACGGCAAATGCCCCATAAATGGAAATTACCGAGTTAACGGCGATCACAATTTAATATATTATTGTATATAATACATAAAACCAAAAGGTAATGATAAAGCTGACTTGTATATACGTACGCGCGTGTGCACATAATAATAATATAATAATATATATACTTGTATGCAGTCGATAGACCGACCGCGTGTAGGTACCTACTATATACATAATTTTATATGTTTGAAGTTAAATATATATAAATATAAACATATACATTCAATAAATGTGTCGTTATAATAATATATTTCCTCCATCCACATTTAACTATAGATGGGTTTAATACTTTAGTAGGTACCTACTTGTATAATATTTCATACATATATTTATGTATGATACCTATGTTTATTATTGTGACGTGATTTATCTGTAAACACTAAACGTACACACACATTTAATACAGGGTGGTGTTTGTCCACGTACTTACTCGCACCCACCTTCTATATTCAATACCAATATACACTATAGCTGTGTCCTTTAAACCATTCATGACACGCTTCCCGTCAATAATTTATGGGTTGCCTATATAATATTATTATTGTACCTATACCAAAATGTTTTTATTCCAACGGAATTTAATAATATTTAAGTTTTGAAAATATTTATGTAAATTGATCGTATTATATTTTAAGTAAAACACGAAAACAAACTTTTTCATGGTTATTTAGAAATTAAGATACCAAGGTAAACCGAAAAATACCTACTTAAGAGGACGCTACACCCGCATATGTTGTCTCCGTCTTACAAGTGCGTAACATACCAAATTTTATGAGTATTTTAAGATATACAAACAATTTACAATTTTAAAATACACATAACTCACTTTAAAATAAAAATATAATTAAAAGCCTACGAGATGCCCTCAATAATAATGTTACCTTTAATTTTTATAAGAGGTCAATTTACTCTAAATTTTAAACTAACGGAGCTAAACGTAATCTGCTGAGCATAAAATTTGTTATGTTACGCGTTTGTAAGACGAATACAACATATGCGGGTGTAACGTCCTCTAAGAGTTATATCATTAAAGTGTGCTGCAGTTATCATTATCAACCATTTTAACCTGGAAAAAGATATGATTGTTATCCGAAAATGGATTTATTTATACACATTTCCATCCCTATTATTTGCCGAAAATTAATTTATTGCTATAGCATGGCAGCAGCGCGTTCAAGTCAACAATCTGTTACATACTCGTAATATAAAATATATATGATTGTCTATGATGAAAACGTGATACAAATATTATAGAAGTGACATTTTAAATTTTGTACTTAAAAAAAAAATATATATTTGTTCTGTTTTTGATCTTTTAGCACTAATAAGTAGGCAGATAATAATAGTTTTTATGTTAGCTTAATTAATTTGTTATGTTTTATTTTTTCTCTCCATAAGTTGCACATATAGTGGGATTTGTATACATAACCGAGAATTGTTTGACTTTGATTGGTATTTTTTTTTTTTTTTTGGTATTGTTGAATGTGAACAAAGCTTTGGCACTGCGTTTGTTTTTCATAAATGTGCGTTTCGCTGCAAATTCGGTTGGGTGGTTCCGTACTTCTGTGTATAAAATAAACATACGGTATACCTACACTAAAAATAATATTGGATTTATTAGATATTTTGGTTAATTTTATTAGTCGTACATTGTGGTACTGTTTCAATGTGATATTCTTAATTATTATTAACTAGGTACAGTGGTGGCATGTACAAGTCCGGATTATGGGGGGGCAGGGGTGCCTATTATCCCCGGGGCCCACGTGTGTAGAGAGCCAATAGTCTTCTCGGCTTAAAATTACATATTGTTCCTACAAGAATATTTTTATTTTCTTCTTGTTTGAACTAACAGGCAATGGGGCCCGTCGACCGTCACCAATGACGTGGACCTACCTATCAAATTTTGGGATGACTTCAAGTTGGTTCCCAATAGTTGAATTGGTTTCCGGGTAGTCTATAGGTAACGTACGTATAATTTAGTTTCCGCGAGCTTTCATGATAATACAACTTTGTTAAATTAACTTTTCAAATTATTATGATATATTCAACCAGCAACAATTTTTTTTCCATTTATATATAGACTTAGGATCGTATTTCATACTTCAATATAAATTATGTTATATAATAGTTCAAACACTATATAGAAATATAGAATACCTAAGTATGGTTAATATGCACTCTAGGTTAGTTGTCCCAAGACTGACTAGAATCAAACATAATCAACCTATTATTAGATATAGAATTATATTTATAAATATTCCCATACATTGTAAAACCTAATAAAATATTATTAATTTATAAGTTTATAGACTGTACTTATTATTTTCAGTGGTTAAAGTTTAGGGGGACGGACTTCCCCTTCTTATTTACGAGAAGATGATGTGCCCCATTAATTTTAGTCTCCAAAGCTTAACAAATATAATAATTAAATAATTAAAATATAAAATAATTAAAAAATCACCAATAGTTTAAACTCAAGTATTAATCATATTCATATACCAGTATTTACCATTGCACCAATATTGGTAAATGGCCATAAGTTGCAATGTTAAAACAGTAGGATATATTTATATATTAAATCTAAGGATTTTAAAAAACTTTTAATAATAATATCTATAATATATAATTGAAGTTACAAAAAAAAGTATTTTCTATGGTTTTTCCTCAAATACTACCGGACTATATTTTGTAATTTTGTTACTGTCTTTACTGATGAATAGATGATTAATATTATCAACATGATTATCAGTTTAAGTTATTTCAAAGAACATTGCCCATTCGAGATATATTGTTTATTGTCAATTCGTTTTCGGAAACAGTAGCACAATATAGATATATCTATGATCGTGGTCAATAGATAATATTATTATGGTTGTCTATATACCTAGTACCTACCCTACCTGTGATTATTATGGTGCACTATTTAGGATATTATATATACAATATAAAATAAGATATCTTAAATTGTGTTTTATGTTGTTATGTATTCCAATAATTAATCTATTTTTGGAGTTTCAGGTGTAACCTTATGGCAGTAGAAAAAAAATGAAAACGTGGTAACACTGCGCAACACTCGTGAGTCCTGATCACTGATCAGTAGTTTTCGCGGTTCAGCCGTGTAACTGATTAACCGACGAGTTATTGCTTTCTTTCGAAACTAGAATTTAAAAATAAAATAATTCAAATCATCACGGACGCAGTTCACTGTTTTGGTCTTATTCTCTTCGCCGAAGCCACCAGCCACGAATCGCAGAGTCCTGAGATGACAAAGCCTAGGCGTTCAGTCGGACCGGCAATCAAGTATCGCACATGCGACACCTGCAATTCGACGTTATACTTCACGGATTTGGAAAMTCATTTCACCGACCACTGTCCGCCGAGCTCGTCGAATTGGACTCAGGCGTTCGTCAACGACCATTGTCTTTACTCGTACGCCAAGCTGTACACGAAAGGTACGAGACTTTGCGTGTTTTGTCTTATAAAACTGTTTTAGTTTTAGGTGTTGTGCTCATACCTGAGACTTGGTAATTTTTTTCCTTATATTTTGAATTTCTTCACCCACAGATGACGAATACATGGTGGGCAACGACAATGTAGTCGTGCCTATTGCTGCGATTCAGTTGTGCGGCTTTGTGCTTGGCGAACCGGTCATTGTGAGGTGCGGCAACAAAACTTTTGTCAAATACATCTGGCCTTCGGATGACTTGCCGCTGTCTAGTGTATATTTCTCCAAAGAAGGTTGAACAATTATACTGAAACCTGATGATAAAATTGTTTGTCAGTTATTTTTCCACTTAACATATATTGATTTTTATTATCATAGTATTGGCTGACGAACTAGATCAGTTGGAACACGTTTCTGTGGAGCGATTTAAGATTCCACTGAGTGAAGCTCAAAACATTGAAATACGTTTGTCTAACAATGATCAATTACCAGATGGAGAATTCATACGCCACTTGTTGACTCACATTTCTAATAAATATGAAGGGCATATTATCAAACCTTTGGATTTTTTATGTTTTGATTTTTATGGGCGTAGTCTCGTTTTTGAGGTATCCAAAATCTCTACTTTTCCAAATGTTGAACTGAATGAACAAATGCAAACTCTGAATATAAGTGATGAACATTTTTATCATATTTCATGTTCTACTACATGGAATATAAAAAATCATCTTGACAAAGTTAATATAACTTATCCAATATCAAATGTTGGTGGATTGGATGATATTTATAAAAAAGTAATGAATGTAATACAAAAATTAAAATGTCAAAGTAAGCTAATAAGTCATGATCTAGTATCTAATATTAAACTACTAAATACTTGTTGATTTTTAGGTGTTTGCGGATTTATTTTACATGGTATTTCTGGAACTGGGAAAACACTATTAGCAAATACAATAACTTATTCATCCAAAAGACACGTAGTTGAAATTAAAGGTTGGGAAATTCTGAGTAAGATTTATGGACAGTCTGAAGCAAAATTGAAATTATTTTTTGAGGAAGCAATTATTAATTCTCCTAGTGTCATATTAATTGATAGGCTAGAAACTTTAAGTAAATCAAATGATTCTTCAGACCTTGAAAGAAGAATTATGAACACACTTCAAACTATGTTTGATTTGTTAAAATCAACCAAACATAATGGAGTAGCTATCATTGGTACTACTAGCAATTTGAGTTCTGTTGATAGCAATTTACGAAGACCGGGAAGGTTAATAGATTTTATTAATTATGAACTTAGTTTTTTTTTTTTGTCATTGTTATTTAAAAATTATTTTTTGATTTAAAATTTAGATTTGATTACGAAATAGAATTACCAGTGCCAAATGAATTGCAACGTATAGACATCTTAACAAAACAGTTATCTCTTATCCAACAGGAAATAAGTGAAGAACAAATTATTTCCATTGCATATCGAGCTCAAGGATTTGTAGGAGCTGATTTGTTAGCTGTAGTTAACCGAGCACAAACTGAAGCAGCAATAAATAATGAAAATGTCACTTATAAGCATATGTGTACTGCTATAACTCAAGTGAAACCATCGGCCCTTAAAGAAGTAATGGTTCAAGTGCCTAATGTAAGTTTCTAACTTAAATATTTATCATTAATATTAATATAGGCACAATTATAGGAGCCAGGAGGCAGGCATAATATTTATGTTAATAATACGGGGATCAAAATATAATTAAATCAATATTGTGCAACAATATAAAAATGATATAATTGTAATATTGATATGTTTAATTAATATTATATTATTAATTTATTATATATTACMTATATTATGTATAATTATAATTATAGTCAATATTATCTATAATTAATATTTTAAATTTTGATTTCAAGTCCTGTAATAAATAATCAGTATTCACTAATCAGTTCTAATTTCTACGATTTTGATTTGATACATTTAAAAAATATAACTGAAAATAATATTTATCTAAATATAGACAAGTTACAGTTATTGAACTTTTTTTAACTAATATTAATAATGAAATAGTAAAAAGACCGTKTCAATTTCAGATGACTCACTACCAATTAGTTCTGCCAGGTTTTCAATGTTAAATTGTTATTGCTTATAAACCATTTTTTGTTTGAAAAAGCAATTACTGCCTTATAATAAAATTATAAATATTTAGAAAATTTAGAGTTTAAGCACCTTCAGTTTTTATAAAAATTATTATTATTGAAATTGTGGCCATGATTATTATACAAATATTTCAATTTCAATTTATATTTTATGTTATAGGTGAAATGGTCAGACATAGGTGGCCAAGATGACATAAAATTAAAACTCAAACAGGTGGTTGAATGGCCACTTCAACATCCAGAAGCTTTTAAACGCATGGGTATCACTCCCCCGCGTGGAGTCCTACTATACGGGCCTCCGGGTTGTTCTAAAACAATGATTGCTAAAGCTGTAGCTACGGAGAGTCACTTCAATTTTATATCGGTCAAAGGACCTGAACTCTTCAATAAATATGTTGGAGAATCTGAACGTGCTGTCCGGGAAACATTTATGCGAGCTAGAAGTGTAGCTCCTTGTGTTGTATTTTTTGATGAGTTGGATGGCTTAGCTGGCGAAAGAGGTATGGGCGAAAGTGGTTCTAGTGGGGTTCATTCTAGAGTCTTAGCCCAATTACTAACAGAGTTGGATGGTGTTCAACCATTAGGGAATGTCACTATTTTAGCTGCAACTAATAGGCCAGATCTTATTGATTCTGTAATTATACTTTTCAAATTAAGTTTTTAATTTTATCATTAAATTACATATTTATTTTCAGGCTCTTTTGAGACCAGGAAGATTAGATCGTAAAGTGTATGTTCCATTACCAGATAAGACTACCCGTTTGGAGATATTAAAACTGAAACTTTCAAAAATGCCAACATCAACTGATGTAGACATTCATAAATTAGTTGAACTTACTGAAAACTATTCTGGCGCTGAAGTAAGAACAAATTTTATGTTTGTATTGTAAAATACTGAATATTAAACTTATGATTAAAAGGTAATTGCAATCTGTCATGAGGCTTCATTGAAAGCTTTGGAAGACAATATAAAGGCAGAACAAGTAAAAATGAGTCACTTTGAAGTTTCACTTCAATCATTGCAACCTCAGACACCGTTATGGTTATTAAAAATATATGAAAAGTTTTCTGGACTCCAGAGGTAACAAAACAATTTTTATTTGATATAAATTATTTTATGATGTTTATATATTATAAATGTAATAAATTATGAGACATTGTGACATAAGGAAGAGGCATTTGATGCGTAGGAAATCTAGACTACACTAATGGAATGTCCTTCGATATGGCAGTCAACAACATTTTTTCAGTCAAATTTGTCTCTTAATTTTGCCTTGAATAGTACAGGCAGTAATGACAGGGCAGCAAATGTTGCCAAGAGTAGTACGGAAGACCATGACCAGGTGGATTCTGTTGTAACCTGATGTAAGGTTTGCCCAGCTTGTACGACCAATACAGAAGGTACTGCTACTCCTGGAATTAAAACAGTATAGTTGTGAACAAATAGTCCTTAGTCATTATATATTTTGTTAATAATCATGAAATTTGGTTATTAATCAATGTAGTATTTATTGTAATTTTCAAATGAGTCAGGCAATTCAATGTTTTTACGAATTCTAAAAACTACCCAAAAACAAGTGCTGGCCAATTATTTTTTTTCAGTTTTCTCACATTCCATGTATAATAACAAATATTATATATATATAGTTTGTAAATTTGTAAACTAATGGCCACAGAAACCGATGTTTTATATAAGATCAATAAAAAAAAAAATATATATGTATATAATATAATATTTATATTTATCTTATTGAAAATCATTTAACAAACATTATTTTTGTCCATATAAGTTATATAAGATGAAAGTACAGCAGTTATTTAAAATAATCAATAAATTCAGATAGCACTAAGCACCATACGTTTTTTAAGCTTTTTAGCTTTGGAATGAATCATCATTCATTAATGATTAGCTATAAGAAATGAATAAAATTTAATAAATATAGTTCAAAAGGTATTTTATCAGCTTAATAATTTAGTATTTCATAAAAAAATGTCTAGATAATCAAATTAAGGTTAAGTTACATTTAAAATTCAAAACCTAAAGAACTTCTTTAAAAAAAAAATACAAAATATTCTAGAATTTCTTGTGCGTCTCAAGTTATCCTAAATTATTACACTCATTTGTACTTATGTATTTTTACTAATTTATAAACTTTTATTTATTTTAAACATTTACCAAAAAAAGTTCCTAACCAAAATGGTATTAACGGAACATCGACTAGTGGTGCACACACATTTATGAACCAATTGGGCAAAAATGGCGTTATTCGCAAGAACATCATATAACAGAACATATTGTCGTTGTGTTTCTTAACCTGAAAAAAAAAATGTTTTACAGTTTTAACAGATAGACAATTGTATTTATGCATTTATGTATTCGAAATTCACCAACCAAATTTGCATATGATTTGATTCTATCTGGGAAGTATCTATACGCTAATCTCCTTCCTATTGTCATTGACAATAAATAACAAAAACATGCACCCATTGCCGAGCAAAAACAAATGATTGCTAATGCTAATAAAAATGGGTATAAAAATCCACATAATATTGATAATGAAATTGAACCAGGTATTGCAAATGTCTGCAAACTAATATTTAATTGATAGTTAAGGCAAATTAATGAAAGTTAAAAAATAATTTTGTTTAATTATTGAATATCAATGTGTTAAAAGGATACAATATGTAACAAAAGAAAATTGACATAAACACTTGAGTATAATATGTATCCTTGTAATCTTCCAATACTCTACCTAGGTTTTGCATGTCTGTGGTATTACGTGGAATTTTTATATATTTTCTTTCCTCCCTGTAAACAGTAATAAATACAATTATCACTACTCATTATTTAGTACTTTTAGGTATCAATTTTTTTTTACTACATACTCGGTCATCTGAGGAAAACTGTAATACAAATATCCTAAGATTACTATGAATAATGAGAATATAACTACTAATATGACCAATGCTTTTGTGGTAGACATTGGTTGTTCATTTTCTGTCTTAGGCTCCGTTATTGTTGTTGTGTCGTCCACTGTCGACACTGAAATTAAATAAAAAAAACTCATGTAATTTAATTACTGTATTGTATTGCATTTGTTTGTATTTCAGATGAATAACACTGTCACTTGGCATATTCCGAAGAAAAACAATGGAAATCTTACAGTGGTTTAAAATGATTAGTTACTGTTGTGTTTCAATATGTGTTGTTAATAATTTATTGTTATTTATTAATTTTCTAATATATACCAAAGTTTACCATATTCATGCACATTTTGATCCACATCCATGTCTTGTGTCGGTGTCTCTTTTGCCCTAGTAAACGAAATTGTATGGTATTTCTCTCGAAATGGTTAATAATCGTCGGTGACAAAAAAAAAAAAAACACGAATTATTCTAAACCGATGACTATTTGATGATGTTGGACGGCATAATCATCGTTTCATAATTTTTCGGTCGACTATCTCTACTCGTCGCGCGTACAGCATAATATTGTTATAATATTATTGTTGATAATAATAATTGAATGATATTTTGTATGTAATCAATCGAGCTTTTAACAATATTGTACATACGTCATTTCTAGATTTGTGATGAACGGAGCTCTGCGGAGGAGGTAATTGTTGAGATTATCGAGACTCGACTTTCTCGTTATCATTTATCGGACTAGTCAATTAGTGATAACTGACTACTGAATAGAGAGGAACAGAAATAAAATGGGTTAGTTCACGAAAGATTAATGGGACTGTTATCAAGAACTATGGGGCTTTGGGCCTCTTATCACCGTAAGGATGAAAAATAATTATGAATTAACAGCGCTCCACGTGGACTAGTTCATATTTATGTGAAAATGAAATTTTAAATACACAACAATAGATAATAAATAATAATTCTTAATTTACTATTTATGTTTGAGTTTAAATTTCAAATAGGTAGATAACCAAGATTCGTATTTCTTATAATAACAATATTTTGCTTAAATTGTTTAGTTATACTTATAGACTCTAATCAATTAAATTGGGATTCTCGTCCTTTACTGATCCTCCAACTTAAAGATGGCAGAGACTTGATACATTAGTTGTGTAGTCTCGATTTTTAAATATATTTATTATTCACTCCTATTAACAAGTTAACCACTATAGACGTAGATCACGGACTATTCGGACTAAAGATGCAATAGGTTGGAAACGACATGGTGTGACTGGCGGGTGAGGGCCGGCTTAAGGCGCATCTTTTATAAATTTATCATCAACAATGTTTATTAAATATTTTCAACGCTACTAGTGGTTTTATTTGGAGTCACATATTTATCTTCTTTCGTGCTCAAACAAATGTTGATACGAGTACCTAAATCTAAACATTATGATTTTGCTAGGGACGAGGGAATTTCGTTTCTAAATTTCTATCCCACATCTACACCCTACTATCTTATGTACCATAGTGATCAATTTTTGGCCAGCAGTCGTTTTTTTAGTTTATAATAATCGATGATTGTTATTTATTTKATATCTCTCAATATTATTGTCTTATTGGTTGACCATTATATAAAAAGGTTTAAGTTTCGTAAAAATTAATAACTATCATAACAATTGACTACCTAAAGATGATAAAATAAAATATATAAACATAATTATGATATTTAATAGTAAAATAAAAAAGACACAATTTATTAGGTGTAACATGTAAAAAAATAATTAAACATGTGAGTGGTTCTTTTTATTGTAGCCACTAGCCAGTAGCCACGTAGATATAAATGTATGAATGATGATTTAAAAATATTGGATATCAATTACTTACTATATAATTGCGTATAATGTAATTCAGTATTATTTTTATTGAGCCTTTTAAAAAATTTGGCTCATGTATTTAATCGATGACATTCGCTCCGAAATAAGACATACCTAACACCTACTATATATGTAGTTTCTATTAAATAAAAGATAGATTGGTAGAAACTATTTAACTATTACCTGTAATGTAATTTATAAAATATAGACGATAATATGTTGATATGAGTTTTTTTAAATTTTTTTTCTGTAACTCGTTTTTTAAATTGTTTATAATGTTATAACGTAAATCGCAAAAAAAAGGTCCCAAACTAGGAAAAAAAGTAAAATAATAAACACAATAGGTAGCACCTATTTAATTATTATAATGATGCGATTAACAATATAATATTTTATTTACACCTCTTTCTTATGTTACGACTTGGGTACTAAACATTTTTCTCTCATTAACTTAATTTCACAGGTCTTGTCAAGATTTAAGATATATTACTATTATATTTAATCGTGTTATACTTATATCTCATAAATTGTGTATTATCTCAGTAGCACGATTTAAACGATGTTATCGACCTAATCATTGTTTAGTAGATCAAAGAAAACATTTTCTGCAATCGAGACAACATAGTTTTTTATGCAGAATTTCCGATTTAACAACGCTTAACGCCCATAATAGTCTAAGCTTTGAATTTTGGTTCAAGTATCGTTGTTTATTATATTTTTATATCTGCAGACATTTGACGTTGAGTTTTAATTTGAATATGGGCAAATATACTATCAACTAAAATTTAGTTTTTTTTTTTTTTTATCAAACTTCGAGTCGTTAATCGTTATCAATCAGTGACCGTATCCCTCGGGCCTCGGCTTGTACTGCTTGTAGACTATCCTAGTCCGGTCACCGTCACCGGTTGTCGTTAAATTAAATTAAAAACTAACTAAAACCCAAAGATTCCAGTTCATCCATTGTATACGTCGATTATTTCATAAAAATGTCTGCGCTTCAAACTACGCTTCGACGAACGACGGCTGTGTTGATGCCTATCGGTTATCACCCTGCGCGTGTTTGGTGTTCGACCAGAGCTACGGGTGAGTTATTAATCATTATAATTAGGTAGTTTATTTACGTCTCCGGAGTCGGCGGTCAAGAACAATATTAAATTATGAAAAGCCAACGGACACGAGAAACCGGTTTATCCATTCATTTTGTCGCCATGGTTTTTTCCCCTCTAATTAACGTCAGTCGTACACCGATAATTTATTGCAGATAGCAAGTTTAGAGTCTTGGACTTGAAAAAAAAAGCATTTGTGCCTCAGGCTAAGAAGAAGTACAATAAGACCATCACTTTACCGCCCAGGTAACATAATAATGTTTTCGATTGATATTAGGTACAATGTTATCAATTGTATTAAAAAAAAAAAAAATGAATCTTGTTAATTAGACGATATTTTCAGAGCGTTGAGTATGCCTGTTGATCAAGATTGGACCAATGTATGGCCTGGTCCAAGAACATTTCATCCAGCTACTGTGCCTCTGGCACTACGACAAGGGTACGATCAGAAAAGAGCATCACCCGGTAAATATGGTAATGCAGAGCTCATGAAGATTCCAAATTTTTTGCATCTTACACCACCGGCAGTGAAAAAACATTGCAGTGCTTTAAAACAGTTTTGTACCGAATGGCCTAAAGGCTTAGAAACTGATGAAGATTGCGATAGACATTTTCCAATGACAACAATAACAACAGATTATTGTCATTCGTCACCAACCATTAAAGATCCTAAATCTAGAATAGTCACAATCAAAGTATGTAGCAATTATTGATGTTTTTACTTGATTCGGGGGGAAGGGGGATAATCCTACATAAACTAGTAATTTTTTTCCATTTCTACACTGTTTTTGCTATTAGAACTTCAGAATTTAAATGGGTAATGTACAATGGCACTAATAGACACTTGGAGGCTCTAAAATCAAATATAAAATGGAACTTGTCTACCTATTCCCTAAAATACAAATAATCCTAGGGACAAGTTTGTAAGTATACAACTTCCTTCTCTGTCACCAGTCAAAGGAAATCCTTGCCATAATTACTAATTTTATAAAATTAAAAACAATCCTATGAGTCATAATATATAATATTTATAAAATATTTAAAATCTTTTTTGAATGAACCTCTTGGATACTGTGTTGTTGCCCATAGTAATTATTACCTAATATAAACCATGGTAAGTGTCAAGTAAATATTATATTCTATTCATCAGTAGTAAAATAATTTAATCCTAATAACTTTATTACCTAATATCTATACTATTATAGTATAATGGTAGGTGAATTCATAAACAAATATTGAATAGGTTCATGAGTATTTGGATGTTATTAAACTATAAGAATAACTATATAGATACTAATATTCGCCTGCTCAACAAAACTATGCCTTGCCAATACTTGCATGATATGATAGCGAATTCCTACATAGAAAATGAGATATCTTAAAACATTATTCTTGGCGCCCATATTCTGCAGGATATAACTAATTATCTTATTTAAGGTTATGATATGTTGATGTTGATGTAAAATGTAATAATTGAAAAAATATAAAAATCAACTTTTTATTGTTTGCCATTGAGCAAGCAACCGTTAACTTTATTAAGGGCCCACAAAATTTAATTTTCCAAACTTGCCCACTAGTTGTGCCACTGGTAGTGTATTAGTGTAGCAGTATTCTTTTTCACAATATTTACTAACTATAAACTTAATCATCCTTCATTGTTTATGTTACTGTGATTGTAATTAATATAAGGATTTTAACAGTATGATAATAGCTAATAAACCAAAATCAGACGCACTGATTTGCCGGTCTGGGGATTTCAATTATTGTCAACAAATTTTTCTACTGATCAATTTATTCTTATTTTGAAAACGTATAATAAAATAATTATTTTATTACCAGTTTCCTCAAATTCTATCTATATAGTAAATACTATGTAATTCTAAGTACTTTTAGTTTTTATGTATCTACCTACTTATTATAAATTATATACCTAACATATGGGTATAAATTTATTTATATAAAGTTTATATTTAATCAACTAAATAATATTGAATACATTTTGGATTTTAGTACATCTCGATCATGAGTCATGACTAGTATCTAAGAACTTTTAGTTACATTAAAAGTATTAAAAGTAAAAGTGCTTAGTTGAAAAGAATTTATATCAGTGGCGAACCCAGGGGGGTGGACCCCGGGTCCGGACCCTCCCCCTTGGCTTATGTCATAGTTTTATTTTTATTTTTAAAAGTTTCCGTGAAATGTTCATCGAAACTTATCGAAACGTTATCAATATATTAACTGAAGAAAAACGGCGCTTGGATTTTACACTTTAAATACCTAATAAGACTTATGAGTTATGACTATACCATAATTTAATTGGCATAATAATAATAATTAATTGACATACATTGTAAATATAAATTTAAAAATGTAAATAATATAATTGTGTGTTTTTTTTATTGGTCTTAAACCCGGCAAATTGTGTTTATTAAGAAATGAAATGTATGTATATACTCAGGAAAAGGGCATAAAAACAGTAGTTAAATACATTTTTTTGGACCCCCTCCTTGAATAAATCCTGGTTGCGCCACTGATTTATATAACTTAGCATCAAAATAAAATAGATTGTTTACACCAACCCAACAACATATTTGATTTAATTCTCTATTTTGGATTTCAGGATTCTCGATTTGTTTATTTTTTGTAAATTTCTGAAAATATTACTCATGGCATAGATACAATAAAATTAAAAGTTATTTGTAATGTTTATTAAGTCATGGACTCATATATTATTTGTTGTATGTCTACTAGATCAAATTAAGCACTTTAAATTTGGATAAACATGCTAGAGACAAAATGATCAGATTGGTTGGGGACAGATATGATGAAGAATCTGATATGCTTACTATTGTCACTGATCGTTGTCCAACAAGGAAACAAAACTATGATTACGGAGTCTATGTTCTCACAGCTTTGTATCATGAATCTAATGTAAGTTATTCAATATGAATGTTCATAAAAAAAAATATCTTGAACTAATTTTTGTGTCACTGATATATTACAGACCTTTGAGGAATGGGAACGACAAAAACAAGAGGCAGACATGGAACATTACATTTGGGAAAACAACCCATCCAAAAAAGCGTACGTCACATTAGCTCGATGGCCAGAAAAGGTTTCAAATGATGATGTAAACTCACATTCTATTGATGACGATATGGTGGGGCAGAAATACAAAGAAGCAGTTACAGAATTATTAAACAATGGTAAAACTATCATTTATTCAAAATGTTGATCAAATTTAAATAAAACATATTTTTTCAGGCGAAGATATATATACTTTGAATAAGTATAGGGAAGCTGTGATTGCCGTATTATTACCTCAAACCGTACAGTCTTAGATAGTTTGGAAATAGATATTTGTTATTTTATACAATAAAATTAATTTTGTTCAGACTTTTCTTCTACTTCTTCTTCTTCTCCTTCTCCTTCTACTTTTTCTTCTTTAATTACTACTGGCAATCTATCACCCCATTTACTTGATCGTGCGCACCAATAAGGAATTCTGTGAAATAATAGAAAAAAATTTCAATATTAAAATATTAATATGATGACAATTATTATTAACAAATAATAATATTAGTAAAGTAAAAGTTTAATTTAGATTTATAATGATAAAACATTATTGTTTAATAATATTTATTTACTTTTAAATATGTAATGTAATGTGTTACATTAACCCAATAAATGCTGTAGACCATTTAAGATAACACTTACATTGACATAATATGTTATGTCGTTATGATGTCTTATGAATGTATAATTTGTGTTCAGCAGTTTCAACTTCTTGTGTAATAAGGTTTAATATAAGAATGACCAATTATCGAACGTAAGGAAATTGAGCTTGAATTTCAACGATATTTTAAGTGAGTTTTGAGCAATTTTTTATAAATATTTTACTTTATAAATTGTTTATTAATTAAAATATTATTATAAAAACTCATGAAATAAATCATGTTCTTAGCTTTAAATTAAATAAAAGGCCAATTCTTTTTATTATAAAGAAGTTATTAAATAAAATCATAGGTGCTGATTACTAATTTGATATGTAGATTGTATTATGAGACAGAACAAGTGATGACACATGCGAGTCATCTTAGGACGCAAAACTAAAAGGGGTTTCGAACAACGAAACATAACCTTCAAACTTATGAAGGGCACATTGTTGATGTTTGGTACAGTGGCGTAGCAAGGGTATGGCAAACTGTGCCTACGCCAGGGGCGCAAATTATGAAGGGGCGCAAATTTGTGCTTTAAAATTGGTACTTATTTTTAGTCGAACTTCAAAACGACATTTTTTT